CCCCAAAACCCCAAAACCCCAAAACCCCTAATATATAGCGTAATTGCCAAGATTAATAACCTAATTAATCAATCATGGAGCCTTCGAAGGACCCGACCAGGTAAGATCACTTCAGAGATGCACATCACCCAGTTGTAGACTAGGGACCTATTATTTGATGGTTGGTTTGCATTGAGGTTGTTTAGCCGAAGAAGCGAGGGTTTGGTTAAGATTATAGGGGTGCAAAGTGTTTTCAACTGGGAAATGGGGAAGAGAGTGAGAGCCAAGAGGGGTTGGGAAGAGCAGAGAGACAGAAGAGAGATAGGGAATCGTATTCCAATGGGGTGACTGAGGAGTGATTTAAGTTTGAAGAAATTAAGGAAAGTGAGGTTTGTTTATGAAATTTTTGTAGGATCAACCTGAGGGATTTGTTTAGAAAATTTCAGTCAAACGCACTCACAAATAATCATGATGATGAAAGATAAAGTAGAGAAATTGAAAGAAGACACTGAAGAAACCAAAGGTTTTCAAACCTCAAGTTATGTCGATAATACTCAGCATCTTACAAGTCAATCACCTTGTATCTTCTATATTGATGACTGAAATCTTAATACAACAAAGTTTGCAAAATCTTCGAGAATGAAAACCTCTTTGAAGATACTAAAAAGTATCCTTTCAATTGTAACAGAGGAAGATCTTCAAGCAAATCTAGGAGATATCCTGGCTACTTTTGATACAAATGGAGTCTGAATACTAATAGACTGAGCACATATCTTCCACAAGAGATGCATCAAAGACTGGATCAAAGAGCATAACACATGCCCTATATGCCGCAAAGTAAGTTTGAGTGTCCTTCAAACTGAATATTTTTTGTAGAAAATATATGAGAAAGCTCTAGAGCTACAAACCAGTCTTATATCAACACTATTTGATAGATTTGATGAGGGATCTTTCGATAAACGATTCAAGCTTTGAAATGGGGCTTTCACAAGTAGTGAGTGAACATTCTGTTGAGAGTAATCAGTCTGCATCAATAGCAAGCAATGGATATATAGAAGAGAGTGGAATTTATAGCTCAGAAGATGAAATCAACTCGGCTAACGGATACGATGAATGGGCATCTAGCAGTGACCAACAGCTGAGTCAAAGCTCTATTGAAATAGGCTTATCTGGAAGCGGATCTAGTAGATATAATCCTAGTAATGATGAACAATCAATTCAAATATCCGCTGATGAATGATCTTATACCTCCGAAGAAAATGAAATTTACTCAATAAGTGAAGATCAGCTAGGTATCGATGTTGTTAGAGATGATTCATCTTCTGATTATTCTTTTCAGGGTTCATCAATTACAATACTGAATCAGAGGTGCTTTATTAATGCTTATAGCCCAGACCTTAGATATTTCAGTAGTGATACTTTTTCAGACTAAAAGCTTTCTTAATTCAATAATCTTATCTAATTCTGGGGTTTTGGGGTTTTGGGGTTTTGGGGTTTTGGGG